TTGATGGGAATGGGATACCAGTTTTCTCCCTTGTAGCCAATGCTCTGGTCAGATTATATGTTGTCCGTAGCGTTAGTTTTAGGTACACTTGTGTTAGTGAACCTCATTTCTACCATTCTAATAATTGATAGAGCATGATTTTCAAGGACTGGTTTCTGGAAATAAATGTTAATGTATGTGTTATTTGCAAATACATCCTATTTGAATGAAATACATCATGCCTGGCACTTTTCACTGCCTAGATTGTATGCAGGCTGTCTGAATGGTGGTCTTGAGTAACACATGTACAGCATACCTGTTGCATACAGAATACAGAGCTCTGTTTATAAATGAAACAATTGTTCAATGTCTTGTACATGTTTTCTGTCCATAAAAGCCAGGGACCCACTAGTAATAGTTAGATGCACACATTTATTCATAGATAGTTTCTGGACAGTTAAATACTAAAACGCAGCTGAATCCTTGAAATCTTCTTTATTCAACCAGCTTTCCATCAGGCCCACAGTCATTCCATGTGCATCTTTTATGTTTGATCAGTAAACACTGCAGGGAAGTATTTAACTACAAACACAAATCTATCATCATTGGAATGTCATAAACACATAGGGAAATTCCTATTTAATTTTGTAAAACTACTCGCTTACGGGATGAAATATGTGGGATTAAGATGACTTTAGGAAAATGTAAGATGAGAAGCAGTAAAATGCATACACTTTGTTTTGGCCCTGTGCTGCTTCTGCAGATTTTGCAGAGATGGTATCATGCAGCATTTCAGTCATGGCAGGAATGAACTGGAAATTGCTTAAGAAGAAGTGGTGGGTAGATAAAAGGTTGCTATAAAACCTACCCTTTCCCCTAAGGTCATATTTCAGGCTGTTTGAAATAACATATGTTAAAAACAAGTCATGCAACTGTGGTATAAATACAAAAGTGCTGTCTAACTAGTAAGATAGGGAGATAAAAAGACAAAGAAAATGAGATACCTCTAAATGAAGGAAAAGCAATGTCATCTGTATGACTTTTCTTTAATCTTGTCTTTCCTCCTGTAGTTTTAGCTTTCTCCCATTTCTTCTTTAAACAACATGTTTTCTCAGGGCCTCTCTGTGTTTTCTCTTGCACATGGCCGTCATTTAACACCTGCTCTGACTGCACTTCTCCTTCTTTAATGCTCTCCCAGTGTTTCCTCTTCTGCCTGCTTGGCTTTACATTTGCCATGTGCTCCGCCAGCCCTACTTCTGTCTGTAACTTTGATACCTAGATCTAATATTGTCTTTCATCTATCTTGGCATCTTATTAGCATCTTATTTAGAAATGAGTGGACCTTTCTCTGCTTTATCATTCATATTTTACTTATCTTCGTAGTTGCTTGCCCAACCTGTTCTGTATGAAGCACTCTTTGCTCTTGGATCTTGCTTCCGTCCTTCTCTTTTCCTAAACCAGATTCTATTCTGTTCAGTGTTCACCATTCGCACTGTCTCTTGTGCTAGTCCTTCCTGGGATTCCAGTGATTTCCAATTCTCTGTTTTTTCCTTTTCTTGCTCTGTCTGCACTCTGTTCCTGACTTGTTGACTGAACCAGTTTTCAACATGCATGCTGCTGTTTGGGTTTGGGAATAGTGTGCAACTGAGACCATGTTTAAGAGTTAGTACCTCTTTTCTGGAAGCCAGTCCTTCCAATAGATGCTACTGCCAAACCATCCTGGTATTATTACCTGGAGAACTCACTTTCCCAACTGAGGTTTTGTGCTAACATCACAGTATTCATAAGAAAGAATGTGTATGTAGAGAATTTAAAGTCTGAATATGGACAATAAAGGAGATAGCAAAACATTACTCCTTCCGTTCTATAGTGCCTGGGTTGAGAGTTTAATTAAGATATTGCAAAACTCAACCTGATTTGTTAATGTTAAAAATATTCTACTGCTTGGATTGTCATCTTATTGATTCTTTTAGAAGCCAAACCAGGCCTGGGCAGATCTTGAGATTTTTTCATCATTTGCTGTAGCTATTATGTGTCACCATTAAGGTGCTACTGATTTTGATAAAACTTGTTTTGCTGACTTAACCGTGGATTGCAATTAACCAGTAGAAACTGGTTCAGAAACACTAAAACAGGCTGCTATTATTTCAGCAGTCCAGGAAGCTAAAGTGATTGTGCGTAGCAATAGAGTCAATGCTCTTTTTCAGCTTTGCTAATTTCTTTTTTAGAGAGAAGCAAATCACAAACATACACAGGTACAATCAAAAATGTTAATATGCAGTAAACTAGGGTTCTGGAATGCAAATTGCCTCTTTTTAAAGGATATTAATTTTCTGCTCTGTTGCCCTGGAAAATTAAATGCTTTAAAGTAGGAATTCAAAAATTTTACCAAAATTCAATGGCCATTTTCCAGAATCTAGGCCAAATTTTTAAATGATACATGTAATGTTTACCCACTGTAAAAAGGCCTTTCTTCGCAAAGTACTGAGAAGAAAAAAGGCCCTTATCAATCCAGGTTTTAATGCTTGTATCTCCATTGTCCTCAAGAGGGATAAAGCATAAAGCAATGGTTTGTATGAAACCGGTATATATAAGACACTACTAATCTCTATTCTGAAGTGCAGCAGTTCCAATATGTCACAGCTCGCAACATGAATGTGATTAGGTAGGGACTCCGAAGTCTATAAATAGCCCTTCACAATCATATCATCACAGTTATATTTTTCAAGGAGATGTAAAGAATAGAAAGGCTAATAAACATACTTCCTAGTTTAGCCCTCAGCTAAATCAGTCGTAATACACATATTTATCTTTTTCCTCCTTTCTTTCCTCCCTGACTGCATAGGAATGAGTTGCTGAGAAATTCGTACTTTCTCATTTAAAAAACATGATGTTATTGACAAAACAAAGCCAGGCAGGCAAACAAATAACCCCTTCAGGATTTGTCAGTGAGAAGATGGGGAAGTAGGGGAGATAGTGGAAAGGCAGGACACAGAAAAAACATAGATTATGAATTGAATGTCAGATTTGTAATGAACGTGGCAGGGATAATCAGCTCTGACAGGGAAGATTCATTTCTAACAGGCTTTCTAATCCCCAGCCTTGATCTTTGCAGAAACATGGGGGAAAGGCAAACCTTAACCACCTACAACTATGGCAGAGACATGAGAGATCTGCGGAGGGTTATTTGGGGCTGCACTCTAAACTGAGAAGTCCTTTCTTTAACTGCACATTTGCCTTTCCCTTGGCCTACCCCAGCTAGGTTGATTTCTAGAACACCGCTTTCATCATCACTATTTTAACATCATTGTCTACTTTTCTGAATCATTCTGAAGCAACTTTTTATTTAAAAATAATAGACTGATAATGCCAGGTATCTAGAAATTACAAGCTGCTCATTGATGTTTCAGTGATGTCAGTGACGTACACATAGGTGTATATATACGTGTGTATACGTAGGTGTATATACCTATGTGTATACATAAGAAGTGGTATTCTGTTACTAAACTAAAATATTTTGGATTTGGGAATGATTCAGATTGATATTTAGCATTTTTTTAGAACTAGAGAAAGCGTTCTTTGAGAGAACATGACCTGCAAGAATAAAGCCCTTTTGAGTAAGATAGTCAGCTGCAAACCAGCGTTTACTCATGTGAATCTCTTGGCTCATCCATATGCACGGGGTCAAAGAAAGATGGAATAAGTGCCGTACTCTTTGGCTTTGAGTTGCTTATGTAGTTTTTGTGGTGCACTGCCATGTCCCATCACACTCTGACCGTGTGTCGAGGTGTTCTGGGCACGTCTGCTTGTGCATTCCCCCTGCAGCTCCCCGTGGGGCGGGGAGGCAAGGCCTCGGCCGGGCCTGCAGCAAGCGGGCCAAGCTGCGTTCTCGCAGCGCGAGGGAAGCCCTCGGCTCCTCAGAGGGCTCCCCGTGGTGGTTTCTCTTCATTAGCCACACGGAGAGGCAGGGAGGACTATCTGCTCCCTCCAAGTGCCTCAAGTAAGGGCCTCCAGCATGTTGGGGGTGACTCTGGCCCGCAGCCTCCCCCCTCACAGCACCCTGTTCACCGGAGCGGCCTTGGCAGGTAGCGAGATTGCAAGGCCTTGGAAGCTCGCTACAGTGCAAATCAGAGAAAACTTTGCTACATCCTTGTACTTCAACACAAAATATCTTTCACCAGAGGTGCTCAGAAGAACAGGCCTGTGAGTTAACACTGTGCAAGCAAGGGGCTTTGGGAAAACAGCCTCTGAAGAAATGTCAAAGCGTTAGCTTTCCTCCCACAGCAGGTCTTCCTTATGTGATAGTCACCTTATTCCACCTGCCGATTTGGATAATACTGTCATGCAAACACTTGATATTCCATTTGGTATGGAGACTGGGTGACTCCCACAGCCATTAGTGCAGGTGGATTGTGTCTGAGGTAAGGATGGAAAAAAGGAGTCTTAATTCTCACATCGCTAGCAGCCCTGTTACTCACGTGTAACTTGGCTGTGTTTCCATGTGAGTGTCACAGCCAATGCTTATTTCACGGGCCCCATTTAATCTGGACCTGATTTTTTAGTATCAGATATAATCAGCTCCAGGGCAATGTTGAATTTCAGAGGACATAATTCCAGCATCTGGGATGCAGGTTACTAACCAGAAGAAATGGAATCCTACTGATTTCAAATGCCCAACTAGTTAATTATTTAAGCTCTTCTTAAGACAAATGACTTTCCTTACTGACGGAGAACAACAAGCTTTTATCAGGAACAAACTTGCCACATTTTCTTCTACATGATACACTAAGGTCAACCATCTGGAGTAATCAGCGAGGACACGCCATTTCAAAGCTCCTTTGTTCATAAACTCCCATCTCCAAATCCATGTCCTTTATTAACTGTGAAAGAAAGTTAAATCTGTGATTTTTTTTTTAACCTTGAAAAGGGTATTTCATTAAATACTGCAGAAAAGTAAACATCATTCACATATTGAAACACTTTTTTTTCTTTAAAATAATATTTCCCTCACCATCCCAAACTGAAAACTGATGGTATCTCTTTCACATTTTCTCTAACAAGAAAGCAGCCCATTCCTACATAGTTTGTATGTATTTTTGGAGGAAGCATCCCCACCCACACTGCTGTATGATATTAGTGTTAATGGCCCTGGATACCAAACTCTTTATGCTCCAAAATAAATATGGCAAAGATTAAAAAAAACCCCAACAACCAAAAACCACATATGCAATTTAAAAAAAGCTCCTGAAAACATTTGGCTCTGACCTAGAGATTTTAAGTGCATCCTAGCCAAAACCTCAAATTTACCTATAATATTATATAAACAGTTTGTACAGTAGTTCACCGAAGAGGCACTAAATTGCATCCAGAATGTTTCCCTCTGCTATGCCCTGCTCCCATCTGCGCAAACTGTTTTAAAAGGCAGCAGTGACCACTGCTGCATTTTGCGTGACGCTTGATTTAAGTTACGCGTTAAGACCAATTATTTGATTGAGCCTCTTAGGCAGGAGACACCACAGGTTTCACTCCCAGATCCCAGCTGAACTCGGTACATGAGTTACTCTGCCCTGGCAAAGCTGAGCCTGTGCAAGAGCAGGACTTCAGCACTATTTCAAGTAAACATCTCAGTTAGTTCTAGAGGTCTGTTGCCCACAGGGTAAGCAAGGCCCTTGCTGCAGGGTTCAATGGGCTTTCCCTGTCCCGAATCCTTCCTTAGGGCCTCAGGCCCCATTTGGAGTCTGCTCCTGACAGATTATTCAAAGTCATTCAGGCAATTTGTAGCATATTAGAGTACCCAACTGGACACTCCCAAATCCTAGGCCCATTCGCAGCTAGTAAACCGCTTTTCTGCATTACAAATTCTTATATATGGACCCAGTAATGCCATTTCAATCTCCTTCCCTGCAGCTGTAGCTTATGCTCCACAGATTTTTAAGGGCACAAGCAATCATTATCACCATCTGGGCTGATACTAAGCATCGTTCAGGTCATGGAAAGTAAAGCAAAAGCAAATGCATGTCAAACTAGCACCTCTGTGTACCAACAAACCCATGGCAGAAGTGGGCTTTTTTTTTTTTCTTTTTTTTTGCATTTCAGAGCCTCTTTTTAATCTAGAAGAGGGTTTTCATTTAAGTAGCATGTTTTCCTGTATTCAAATTGTTATTTTTTAATTAATGATTATAATATATTGTTAAAAAAAATCTTGTGATCACTCATTTTCTGGATTTTTTTGTCTTACTTCATAATATGTCACGTTGGGTCTCATGACTTTTTAATAAGCTGTATTCACTACCTAGATTTTTTTCCTTGCTACTATGATAAATAAACTTCAAATCTAGATTTCTGGTGTAGTGCAGCTTTAATACCTGCAGGTACACTGTACAGCTATAACAGCTCATGCAAACGGCTTACGTAGCATGTGCCGATGACTTCAGTGAGTAGACAACATGGGAAAGCAAGTGAAGGAGTCACCTATATGAGAGTGGATTGACTTACTAATATGTGATATCAACATTTGAAATGATAGTTTTTTTTTTTTTTAGCCTACCACTTGCATGAGCAAGGACCTCTCCATACCCCTATAAGAGAAAGCTGAGATATTTTCTTCAGGATGGTTTCCACTGTATTTTCCTGTCAAGGAAAAAGAAAAAAAAATGTGCAGTTTCCAGGTGGGCAAAGTCTCAAATTAAGAATAAATTCTAATAAACATCTAATAAAAGTTAAACAGCTGTAGTAAAAAAAAAAAATGTTGGTAGTGTGGTAAGTGCTGAGGAATGTGAGGTTTACAACGCATGCTCAAAATCTATCGGTGTTGACTCTGCAGAGATGATAAGAGACACAGGTGGTTTGGCCCAGTTTATGCTAGTTATTCAAACAGCTGCAGGAACAAAAACAAAGCCAGGGGCAAAACATTATAAAAATGATTTTTTTTTCCCTTAATAATTGCATCTGTGAGGTCAATTCACACTGAAGAGGGAATGGGAAATACAGGACAAAGTTCTGACTTCACATTCAAACTGAGTCTGAAGTTTAAGCAGGGCGCATGTCACCACTTCCAAGATCTAAGGGCTCTCAGCCAGTGTCTAACAGTACAGGCTTTTACTGCTTCACTCTGTACATGCAATCTTACTAATAATGATTCAAGTTTGCTAATCTATTTGCAGGTCAGCTTTATAAACGCACTGAGGAAAAAAAACAGTTGTAAAAATGCTCATCTTAGAATTATTAAATGGCAGTTACTTCCCAGATTTTCTCCTATTCCTACACATGAATCTCACCTCTCACCTCTTTTTTTTTTCCCTCCTTTCTTTCTCTCTCCATTCAAGGAGAAAACAGTCAAATCCACAACTTCAGTGCAGTTGGCCTAGATTTTCATGCTGCCTTGTCTCTAGCTGGGGCTTCTTCATTTCCTCATCACTCCCTGTAAATCTCTGTGCACTCTCCTTATTGCCACTCCATTTCTGGAGAGGAGGAGTCAGTATTTTCTTTCATTACAAAAACCATCTTTTTCTTTCCTCTAGATAAGGTCCAGAACAGGAGGAGAATGCATTTGGAAAACTTAGTCAGAAAGCCGTATATTCCATTTGAACTCACAAGTCAAAAACAAAACAAAAGGTATAAAAATGAGTCAGTTAAGCTTGATTTGTTGCCCACACATAAGCATCTGGTGCGATATAAAATGCCCTCAGGTACCCTCCTAGTACTCAGTTGCAGGTCCAGAAGGTCTTTGATCTCCTGCAGGCCTCACACAAATCCGCCAGCTCCAGGTGTAGGCCTGAAAAATCCTAATACTTAAACCAACAGGAGGCAAATGGAGGGTAAGTTTCAAAACTCTAATAGTGTTCCAGGTTAGATTGCTAAACCTAAATATACCTTAGGGTATCTCAGCCCACGCTAGATGCCTACGTGTGGGCAACTGAATTACATCCTGAAGGCTTAGGGGAATTAAATGGTAAAAAAATCTGGTAATATTTCAACAGAGATCCTAACAGAGCTGTGAAGCAGAAAAGGTTCAGATCCTTTCACAACACAATTAAAAAGGATGGCATTTAACCAAATATGTATTATATATATATATATATATATTTCTGTTTCATTTAAAGGATTCCTCTAAGGGCAGATGAAAAGGATCTACAACCACATACTTTCAAGACTCAGAAATGGAAGTACCCAGTGTTCAACCACCACTATGCTTGCAAAAAAGAAATCTAAAGGTAGAGGCTGAAAATTAGTAAGAAATCTAGAGAAAAAGACATATAACCGTTAAGAATGTCCAATCCTATATGAAGAACCCTAAAGCTAGACCTACATCTCTGAGATTAAAAAAAGAAAAAACAAACCTCTTACTAAAAGCTGGGGTGATTGTGTTCTTAGACCTGGTGAATATTGCGGATTCCCCCAGTTGACTATGTTTAATTAAAACAAAACCTTGTCTTTTATTGGGTGTTTCATGTCAAAAGCTCACATTACAACATTGTCACAGAGACAGCTTTATGCGTTTGTTTTTCTACAGAACACCAAGTAACTCCCTAAATTAGCATGAACATACTGAAAGAGGACACTCCAAGTGATCCATATTATGATGTTTAAAGGAGCTTTTTGGAACCCATATCCATGTCCTAATAACATAGAAGACTGGGCAGCTTATTCCTTGAAAAGTCACTGAAAATCTCGGTCAAAAGTGCATATGCATGATAATGGACAAAAAATGCACAAATATTGAAGGAACACATTACACATGAAAAAAACTCAAGACTGAATTCAATGCCTATAGATCCAGTAAGGTGTTTTGGAATACTTCTTGTTGGCAATTCTATCTTTCTGGCCTGATCAAAGAAAGAAATACAGTAAGCCTAATTTCTAAAGATACCAGCAATAATTCACTGCCATCAACTCATATCAGCATATCACTGATATCACATCACTCATATCAGCAAAAATCAATGATAAAAAAGCCATCTCCCCATGCAAGCATTCGGAAAACGACACGGCTGCGTGTGTGGAAGATCCTACCAAGGTGCTTGTGATCTAGGCCTTGGCCCTTCTTGTCACAGGGCTCTTCCACCCGGGAACAAGGCCACGGTGGCTGAACAGCTCTGTTGTATCAGAGAACAGCCGGCCCGATGAGCAGCGGGGGACGATTTAGCTCTTAGTACACACAACCTGGCCGGCTCTGGATGAGCTTGCTCAAGAAACAGAGCAATAAAGCTTCATTTTCAGGTGAGGCGAAGCGATTTGGTTACAGCATGCTAATGCAGTCCCGGATTGCATCTGGGTTTACCTAAGAAACCTTTAGTGAAACCGGCCGCGTGGCCGGCACTGCGCTGACTTCTGCATACGCAAATCAAAGGTCGCTACACATAACATCACCTTAGTGCTGTTCAAAGGCATGAACTTCAAATGTTTCACTACAAATAAACTAACAGAAGCCCAGGAGAGAAGAAACACACAGGAGATAGGCCGAGGCAAAGGGAATTGCTCCTATAAGGCAATCACTAAAATGAAATTACCTTTGCCCAGGAATAACGTGTGTCTGTCTGGGCACGCTGAGGCCTAGTTCCACTATAAATCAAATGATTACTATGATAGGCAAGGCAAAGATTACAAGGGAAAGTAAACTGATGCTTATTTTAATTTCAAAAGGTGGTCACATACTAATAATGATGCAGAGAACCTTGTATGTTCCTACAAAGGGAATATAAAACCATTCCTTTCAAGAATATAGCAAATGATGCAAGTAAGGAAGTGTATCATTTTTACCTCATTTTTAAGAACAGATTCAAGCACAATAACAATCAAACAAATTTATTTGCAGGATACACTTACACATAGAAAACAATACTTATTGTTTTTTGATTAAATAGCGTGAGAAAAAAACATGACAAAAAACACAATACATTATTCAAAATGCTCCATATATTCATTAGTTGACATTTTCCAAATGAAGCTTTTTTTTAACGTGATCCCGAACAATGCAGAGTTGGAACAAAGGGTCTAGAATTCTGGCATTCCACAGCTGTGAGTCAGGGGAAAAGAAAAAAAAGGCCATGTAGGGGAAAAACACCACTGAATTTCAAAACAATACAAATTCCATTAAAGATAAGATCATTCGA